TAATAACATAGATCATCTAACTAGAAATAATGATGACATGGATAAATAAAATAATATGTAGATAAATTTTTATATTTTTAATAAAAATAAAAAAACCTCTCCACCTATTTTCTTCCCCTGCTAAAAGAAAGAGGAAGAAAGAGGGGGAAGAAAATAGGTAGAGAGGTTTTTATATATTTTTTATAAAAAATATAAATATTTATTTACATGTTATTTTATTTATCCATGTTATCATTTTTTTCTAGTTAAATTATATGTCATAAAAAAATATAAAAAATACCAAGTGGGTGAAGTTAATGACTTAAATTGATGAAAGTATCAAAATTGTGCAGTTATTAAAGTTAAAAGATTAAAAAAGTGTAAAAAATAATTTAAGGACTAAAAAAATACAAAAAATAATTTATAAACCAAAAAAGTACAAAAAATAAAGTTGAAGGATAAAAAAGTGAAATTTAATGAAGTTGAGGGACAAAAAAGTGAAACTTAATGAAGTTGAGGGACCAAAATTAGCATTTAACCAATTTTTGTCAAGTGCGGTGTGAAATGTGACGGAACATTAACGGAATAATAGGAGATTTAACGGAAGTTAGTTTTTCCGTCCAATTGGGTCCTTATTTGAGAATTTCGTGGAGTTCGGGACCTTCATTGAGCGCAATTGAAGTTTGGGTCCGAAATTGCGAATTTGGTGTAAGTTTGGGTCCTTATGTCATATTTTTGCCATTAAACAAAACCTAAGGAGATTCACAATTGCAAAGAATTATCTCCTCGTATCCTCTCTTAGACATGGAAATCATAAATAATAAGATGCATAGGAACAAATCCTAACTCAACTCAAATAATTATGATATATTATTATATATTTAATTTCATTTATTTAAAAACTTACTAATTATATATATACCTTCACATAGGTATATCATATATATTATATAGTAGTATTTTTTTTTATTGAATATATTCACAAGAAATCGGATTCAAACCGTTGTTTTGAGAGTGAGAGAATGCACTTATACATGACCTAACACCACTGCACCAAAATCAAAGTGCATATTATATGGTAGTATTGTTTTTAAAATTTATAAAAAAAAAAGGTTAAAACCCCTTTTTGGTCCCTGAACTATTGTATGGACCCTCGATTTGGTCCCTGAACTAAAAAAATCCCTGATTTGGTCCCTACTGTTTACCATTTTTACCCCGATTTGGTCCTTCCGTTAAAATCTCACCGTTATTTCACGACAATTTAATGACATGTCAAACATTTGAGACATGCCAGCTATATAAATGAATAAATAATGACATGGCAACGTGACATGTCATGTCCTTGCCCACCCCAACAAAAGTGAGGCCCACCAAAATTACGAATTTGCCATCATCTTCTTCCTCGAGCAAACAAACCCAACACCAAACAAACCCAGCACCTGGGTTGAATCGAACCCAACAACGCCCTTTTTTTTTCCTTCATCTTCCTTGCCTTGCTTTCTTCATCATCATCAAACACCAAACCCACAAAAAAATATATATGTTTTTTACCCCTGGGTTCTGTGAACCCATGCCTGGGTTTGACGGAACCCAAGGTCGAGTTCCATGGAACCCAGCTGGTTCGCCGCTGGGTTCCAAAGAACCCAGCGGCAAAGCAGCTGGGTTCGAAGAACCCAGGTGTGCTGGGTTCACGGAACCTAGGGTCGGGTTCCATGGAACCCAGCTAATTCGCCGTTGCGTTCCATGGAACCCAGCGCCTGGGTTCCTTGGAACCCAACCTGGGCAAGCGTGCTGGGTTCGCAAGGAACCCAGCACCTGGGTGGTTTCGAAGGAACCCAAGCCTGCTGGGTTCCGAGGGAAAAGAGAAGGGAAAGGGGAAGGAGAAAGAAAAAAGAAAAAAAAAAGATAAAAGAAAAAAAATTTTAAATTTTATTTTTCATAATATTTTTTATATTATTTTTTTTTTCACATCATCACTTTTTGGCTATATTATCTTCCACGTGGATTACTATATGACATGTCATTTGGTAACCATGAAATAACAGGCCACATCACACAATTTTTAACGGAAGGACCAAATCGGGGTAAAAATGGTAAACAGTATGGACCAAATTAGGGATTTTTTTAGTTCAGAAACCAAATCGGGGGTCCGTACAATAGTTCAGGGACCAAAAAAGGTTTTAACCAAAAAAAATTACTCTCCCAAAGTCAATTGTGGAATCAAAACATGGATTGGATACACTTCACTAGTCAAATCAAGGTTAGGTAGATGTGAGAGGTGAATTAAATATAGAAAAATATACTCTCGTGATTATCATTTTCAAGAAAAAGGCTGGTATTTGGCTTTGCTTTGAGGCTGATTAGCATTGTCAAATTGTGTAAAACGTTAACGTGACTGATTTTCATGCATTTACAGATCAAGTCATAGACGCCTGCTGGGTTTTTAGCTTTTAAATATTTTTTTTTGATAGAAAAAGGGCACTGATAATTTGCAGACAAGGTGCCGGCTTTTAGAGGTTGGAGGTAACAAGCCAAAGAGTACTTGATGGGCCCTCAAGTTGCTTAACTGGATCATGAATGAAAAGGGCCCACCAGGCCTGCCTTTCGGCTTGAAGATTTGGATGATATCATATAAATTGATGGAAAAATGATGTTCAAGTTTATCTGCATGAAAAAAAGTTTAACAATATCTATAAAATTATTTAAATACTATTAGTAAATTTTTTGTTGTATTGATTCATTAGTTGTAATTACTAATTTCATAAATTTTTTAACACTTTTATTTTCTGTTGTATTGATTCATTATTTGTAATTACTAATTTTATAAATATTTTGACACTTTTTTTTAGGTTGACTTAAAAATCTGAACCTCATAAACTTATCATAAAAAGGAAAATCATAAATACTTCTAGATGAGAACAAAGTTTCTTGGATGACAGCATCTTTACTCAGATGCGGTGCTACAACAAGAAGCTTGGAGCATGGGGGATGATATTGAGTAGACGTAAAATTCTTATCCTCAAAAATATATTCATATAAATCATAACTGACGTATACAGATGTCTCTCCTGTCAACCTAATCACTACGAAACTTCCCTTATCTTCTAACTCTCTGATATTCCTCTTTCTAACATATAATAATAAATAATAATTCTCTTCAGCCACAACTCAGCATAATTTGTTTTTGTGTATATGAATACATACGTTACGGAGTATATAACTGAAAATAGTTTTCAACTATTTTAAATACTATTGTGTCGATATTAAAATTTGAACTTAAAATGAGATTTTAAGCTCATCTCTAGATCGAAATTTTTTTTAAAAAAAAGAAAGTTTTCGAACTGTTAAACCAAGGCCTTGTTGCAAATTTGGGCTTTCAAGTTTCATATATCCACTAACAACACCTACAGTGGACCAATCTGCTTTCGGAGTAACATACACGTTAGGAAGCTACAAGGGCCATAGTCTACGCCCAATCTGTCCAACTTTAACTTAAAAGTGTGGAAACAAAGAAGCCCAGCCAAAAATACTATCAAGCCCAATTGTACTGTCTATAAGCCCAATTAACAAACTAATAATTCAACAAAGATGAATGCAGCTGAACCTACTTTTGCAATACAAGAAGAAGATGAAAACTTGCTGTGCAGAGAAGAAAAAATAAAAAAATTTTAATAATCAATGATAGAAGATCTATTGTATTATTCCAGAATAAAAACAGAGGATGTCCCCAAAACAACAGACTAAACACAGATGTTATTATGTTATTCCAGAAAAACACAACAGTTTCAATGCTAACTTACAACTTGCTCTTCTTGACAGGTCCCATCTCCTTTGCCTTGGCTCTTAGAACATGCTTCTGAATCTTTCCAGTTGCGGTTTTTGGTAATGGTCCAAACACCACTGATTTTGGAACCCAGTAAGCAGGCATCTTTGACCTGCAGAACTTCATTATATCCTCTGCTAAGTGTCGTTCATCGGATTTATCCAGCCCGGGCTTCAAGGTCACAAAGGCACAAGGTGACTCTCCCCAACGCTCATCTGACCGTGCCACCACTGATGCCTCCAATATTGCAGGATGTGCATACAGAAAATTTTCTATCTCCACGCTGCTGATGTTTTCACCTCCAGATATGATAATGTCCTTTGATCTGTCTTTTACTTCTATATATCCATCTGGATGCTTCACGCCAAGATCCCCAGAGTGAAACCACCCATTCGCAAATGTTTCCTCATTGGCTTTTGGGTTTTTTAAGTAGCCTTTCATCACACAATTACCACGCATCACTATTTCTCCAACAGTTTTTCCATCAGCGGGAACGGGCTGGCCATTTTGAGTGTTGATGATTTCTAGGCCTTCCAAGCCAACATATCGGACACCCTGGCGTGCATTGAGTCGAGCCTGGGTTTCAAGTGGAAGTGAGTCCCATTCAGGTTTCCATGCACAAACTGTAGAAGGACCATAGGTTTCTGAGAGACCATAAGTGTGGGTGACACGGAAGCCCCTCTTGGTCATTTCTAAGAGAACAGAAGGGGGTGGAGCAGCACCAGCCGTATTTACATTTACAACATGGGGAAGGGGGAGAATTGTGTCCTCCGGTGCGGCATTGACTATGGAGTTGAGTACTACAGGTGCAGCACAGAAGTGAGTCACGCCATACTTTGCTATACTTGAATAGACTCCCTTGGCTGTTACCTGTAGATATGAAAAAAACACAGTAATGGCACTTTTACTTCTCGTGCTAAATCAAACATAGTGGGGCCTCAAGAGCATTTCCAGACACAAGCACACTAAAGGACAATAGAGTATGAGTATAACCACCAATCTTTAGGACACACCCTAGCAGTCGCGTCAGGATTACATCTAGAGCAAGATTGAGGAGGGGCAAGTAGAGAACAATAGTATATTAGACATAAGCTATTTTTTTTTCACATAAGCAAGTATAAAACATGGTTATTCCCAGTTATTTACCTGCCGTAGGCATATGCTTGTCCCAGAAACCGCTGCAAGGGTCCAAGGGTAACACCATCCATTGCAATGGAACATGGGTAGAGTCCATAGGTAAACAGGTCCTTCATTCATCCCCCATATAAGAGCACAACTCAAAGACATGACATATGCCCCACGGTGACTCAATACCACCCCCTTAGGGCTAGCTGTTGTGCCAGAAGTATAACCCAAAGCAATGCTTTGCCACTCATCCTGTGGTGGCTTCCAAGCAAACTCAGGATCACCACTTTCTAAGAATTTTTGATACTCAATGGCTCCTTTACTCAAAGCATATCTCAGGGACTTAGGATCACAGCTTTCATCAGCTACAACAATCAAAAGAGGAGGCTTAAATTTTCCTTTGCTTTTCTCCTCAAAGATTTTTAGAGCTTCCTCTGCCAAAGTGAAAAACTCTTGGTCCACAATGACAGCAGCAGATGATGAATGACCAAGAAGGAAAGCAATGGTTGGAGCATTTAGACGAATATTAATAGTGTTTAATACAGCACCAGACATTGGAACTCCAAAATGAGCTTCATAGATAGCAGGAACATTTGGTGTAATTATTGCTACCTGCCAGTATAATTAATCCACAAGAAAATAAGCAATGCAAAAAACTAAGTAATAGAGAACCGTAAAGTTCCATAACCAGTCTATAAACTAAACTTTTTTCAACACTTTTTGAATCTCAAGTTGAAATATTTATGCTTCTTAAATTTAAAGCAGGATAGCAATTCAAGATCATAAACAGAGCTAAAGACTAATCAATAAACTGATGATTCTCAAAATATCACAAGATCAATTATAAATCAGAAACTTTCAAAGCATCCTTAGAAATAAGTATATCATGGAACCAAAGACAAGATTTTCCAAAAAAAGGGGAAAAAATCATGAAAAGAGCTCCGACAGTGATACACTTTTAACCAAACAGAGTGGAGAAAAAAACCAGCAATTTAAACATTTCCTCATTATTGTGTATGGTGATGGCATGTAGAGATGGAATCGATAGAGATTTTCCAGAAAAAAGTGGAACAAATCATGAAAAGAGCTCCGATTGTGATAAATTTTTAACCAAGCAGAGTGGAGAAAAAACCAGCAATTTAAACATTTCCTCGATATTGTGTATGGTGATGCCATGTAGAGATGGAATGGATAGAGAGATGTAAATAATCCCGATCCAAAGAAAGCGTAGAAAACATTGAATATATTCCAAAAAAGCAAAGGCTAATTTGTACAGACTCAATCAGCATCTCTGCCGGTGATATTTACAACATCAGACCATTATCTCTAGCAGATCAAACATGTTCCTTGTCCTGGACAAACGACATAGATACAACTAGATTCTCATAGTACTTTGCTACAATTAAAGAACAGAGATAAGTCATAGGTTAGCTGAAGGTAATCAGCTTTGCTTTTAATGGGATCAACACCTCTCACTCCTGAATTAACATTTTCAGATCTCATCCATTCCAAAAAAAATTGTTAATTCATCAGGACATTAAGAATACTAAAGCCTATTTGTTATTTTACAAGCTTGTTAGCCTTAGTATGTAATTATCAGATTTCATGAAAAAGAAAAGGCTGACTCAGCTAAAAAAAAAAAAAAAAAATTCCAATTTGAATTCTCTTCATTTCCCGCAGCTTCCTCAGTAACCAAACACAAGACAAGCTAAAGATGCAATTAGGAATTATGTAAGCAATATAACACTATTATTTTGCTGCTGCTACAACACAAAATCTTAAATACGGCTCGGTGATCTGGAAGCAGGACATCCTATCTGTCTAAATCAAAAAATAAAATAATAATAATAATAATAATAACACTATTGTTTCAACTGATCTTACCGTGCTCCCGGGGCCGATGGACTGTGTGCAGAGAGCGGAGGCCAATCGGCGGCAACGCTGGTAAGTTTGGCGCCACGTGTAAGTCAAAGATCCATGG